CCCCACCCTCCCCCAGGGTAAAACTAACTTTTGCATAGTTCCTGTTTGGAAGCTGTTATAAGCCCAAAGAAGTCAACAGTTTGCCTTCCTTAAGGGATGGAGCCAGGTCACCCTGAAGCGTTGTTCAGTTACCCTGCCTCCCATCAGGTGTCCTGTTCCTGAGAAAGACTCCTGGGATTCTTTCCCGTTGTTGAAATCAACAAAACCTGAATTCACCCTTTCCAGGGCTGAGAAGCTGTTTTGTCACATGCTCTTGTATGCAAAAGTGAAAGTTTGGACAAAGCTTTCACCCACTCTTAATAACCTGACTCAAGAGCAGTTCCAATTCTGAGCTGTAAGCTTTAGTGACAGTGACTATGAAGAAGCAGCCGTTTTATTGGTACATCTACCCAGGAATCTTATTAGAAGAAACAAAGAGCTAGAAAATGCCTTATAAAGTATAGGAAAGATGATTCCTTGCTCCTTGAAAATAAAGCAAGGTCAGCTGAATTGAAAAAATGTAAGTAAGCAGCAGCCTTCTGAGATCACTTTTGTTGGATTCAAGCCACAAAACTGTGGGTCTCCCCATGAGCCCCTCACAACATCAGCATCTGCTTGAGTGCCTCATTAGTGTTGAGTGTGGGACTTCTATAGTAATACTGCTGGTGGCATTTCTGCCCCAGAGAAATGCTAGTCTTATTCAGTTAAATGCTTGTATACATAGTATATACATATTATTTTCCATAGTTACATAATATCTAATCTACATTGTATTTTTATTGCTTCTTTCTCAAAGGATCTAAATCGCTAGTCCTTTACAATCATAGTTTTGCCAAGTCTTCCAGGTATGGGTAGAAAAGACTCAAATGAAATTGCTTCTACAGCTTGTTGGCTCCTCAGTTTATTCTTAGCTAACATCTAATAGACATTCTGTTTTTGTTCTTGTTTTTTTTTTTTTTTCCCAAAGTGAATCTGATCTCTCTGTCAGTCCTTGGTTAAAGTTTCAGTGTTAATTTATTGCATCAGTAGGCATGATGGAACTTAACCATTGTTTAGTTCTCTAACTGCCTTAGGTGATCTATCTCTTCAAATAGTCCACTGTTCATTTGGCCCAAGAAACCCTACAAAATTATGCAGGGCAAGAGGTTCAAAGCTTCATATTCATTTTAAGAACACTTGTGAAACTGCCCTCACTATGGGGGGCACACACATACAAAAAGCCACCATGTATCTGAAGGATTTCATTCCACAGAAACAGCCTGTGCCATTCCAGTGTTATCAGAGTGTTGTCTATCAGGCCACACAGTGATACTGAACAAAGGGGTCAGTGACCCAAAAAGAGTACTGCATTTTGACTGCATCTGCTTTAAAATGCCAAGTTCAGTAATGCTGAACTCAAGAGTAGATTCTCTGCCTATTGAGCATAGCCAGGTAAACAAAGCCCAAGATGTGGTATTTACAAAGCTCATGGCCAGGTTAATCCCAGCATGAGCTCTCCCTGCAGCATATAGAGGATCCTTCCTGCAAAAATAGCAGATTGGGCCCTCCCTGGTGGCACAGCGGGTTAAAGCACAGCACTGAGAATCTAAAGCCACTTCCGCATGAGTTCGATTCCCCGCCTGCCCAGGAGGTGACCACATGGCGTGGCAGACCTCTCCTGACTCACCCGCTACTCCCCTCAGCAGTGTACTTCGTCGATCTGCCTGTTCTGCTCCCCACTCTGTCTCTGGTGAAGCTTCTTGTCACCCCTGAGCCTCTGGCCTATACCCCAGTACTGTATGCACAAATGGATAAATCTTAAAAAAAAAAAAAAAAAAAACAAAAAACCAGATTGCTCCTAAAACAGAAGGGGAGGTTACACAGGAAAAAAGAAATTGAAAAAATAAAGACTTATCCCCCAGGACTAATTTCAGAATAAAATAAATGCAAATGAAAGTAAAAGAAAAATATCATAGTCCTTAATGGATTTCTATCTTAAGATACCTCTAGTGATTTAATCTCTGTTTCTCTATTACTTATTAATACAAGAACTCAGACTAAACTTGTATGTTTTAAAACTGAGAAGCATCTTTAAGATCACCTCTTGTACAGCACTGATTCCTGAGTTGTAAAGTGAAAGTTGGTTCTTGAGAAAACCAAAAAAAATCTTAGCTGTTGCGATGGTTGGTGGCCTTCCCCTTGTATAAAATCTTACTTCTTAGTAAGTTTTCTGATTAAGTGATAATAAAAGAAAAAAGATTAAGAAATACTGACATATCCATGGGGATTACAACTGAGATGGAAAAATATACAAAATGAAGAATGATATAAAAAAATTATGTTTATGGTGTAAAAAAATAAAATTGGGAAAAAGAAATACTGACATATAAAGTGACCTTCTGGAGTTCCCAGCAGTTGGTGAGTAAGGACTCTTCTTGGTCTACAAACAACATTCTTTGTTTCCCTGAGTAGCTCTTTTCTTTTACTTCTCAGAGCTTCAGTGTTCAAACCTGATTTATCAAGAGTTGATTCATTCATTGTTTTTTGGGTTTTCTTTTTTTAGGATTTTATTTATTTTTATATAGATGAATTAGGGTACAAACAAGAGGTGCGAGGGAGGGGGCCAGGAGGAGTGAGAAAATTGACACTATGGAGCAGAACAGGCAGATTTACCGAAGTACACTGCCTAGGGGAGCAGGCAAGACAGGCCCTGTGTCACCTCCCCTGGTTGGGAATCTTACCAGTGTTGCAGTGGCGGATAGCTTCATACTGCTGAACCTTAACCCCTTGCACCACTAGGGAGGCACCCTCAATCAGTGCCTTTCAAAATTTAGTTTGACTAGTATATTTTTAATAAAATGGAATCATATAGAATGTATCCAAACATAAGAAAAGTCTTACTTCACTAGCTTTTGTGTGTATATTTGGTTTCTGTAAAGTCAAATACAGCTTTTACTTTGGGTTCTAGTCAAAAAAAATTTGGGAGGGCCTTCCTTGTGGTGCAAAGGGTTAAGTCGCAGCACTATGAAGCACTCTGCAGCCACTACAGCACAAGTTCCATCCCTAGCCAGAGAGCTGACCCACATGGCCCAGCAGACCTCTCCTGACCCACACACTGCTCCCTTCAGCAGTGTATTTCAGTAGATCTGCCTGTTCTGCTCCCCGCTCTGTCTCTGGTGAATCTTCTCACCCCTCCTCCCCACACCTCTGGCCTATACCCCAGTTCTTTTATGCATAAATAAATAAATCCTTTTTTTGAGAAAAAAAATAAATACATGATTTTGAAATGCCCTGATTTTTCTATACATCTCTGACTTGTATTCATAGCCAACCTCAGTAATAAGTATGATAAGTGATTTTCTCAAGAACAGATTGTACCTGGGAGAACAATCAGAACTGTAACCTTTGATTTCCATTGTTTAACTAAGGTCTTATCTGTACTTGGTTTAAAATTATTAAAGTTATAGTATTTTGAAATGCTATAGTGGTGAAGCTTACATATCCTGTTTTATTATAATTCCATTTAATTCATCTTATAGGAAATGGACATGGAAGCAAAGAACCATGAAGTATGCAACAACCACAGGTACCAAGTCTTTGTTGTTCTTTGGCTTTGCTGCCACTTGTGAACTAAGCAGCTAATTAATGTTTATTCTCTTAATTTGTGCATGTTAGATTGAGTGTTTACATACTTTTGAAGTTTTGGGTTTTCATGATAATTTGCTTAGTTATGGTTTTCACCTCTATATGTCAAATTGTTCTTGCTATTGAGTCTAAAATATATAGGGAAATAATTGAGACATTTTGATGTATGTCTTCATTCTCCCCGCATGTGTTTTACTTGGAAGGACATAATAATGAATGATGTCAGTGCTTTAATACAATTTTTTCAAGTAGCAGAATCTTTTTTTCAAATAAAATTTTACATGGAATTCTCAACTACAAAAACATATAAAAGTGTCGGGGACGTGCCCCAATTTAGGCTGTTAAGAGGCTGACACAGTCAGGGTCCTAAAGTGGGAACGAAGTTGGCGAGCTGATATTCCAAAAATTGGGGAGTAAAGGGGAGCGGGAGTGAGGAAGACACGGGAGTCAGGATTTGGATGCAAATCTTCCTGCTCTGCCTTCAGCAGAGGTTTATTTTACACATTTCAAGCAGGCGGAGGGATGACATTAGCATATGAAAGGGACCGATCGCAATCACCTTTTTTCTAATAATAGTCTGGGGTCCTTTTGAACTTTACTTGAGATTATAGCATGTTAAAATCAACCTATCAAGGTTAAAACAGGTACATAGATGCACAACGTTTAAGACTAATATTACTATAGTGAAGATTAACTAAAATAAAGTCCCTTAAGCCTTATCTACTACTTAATGGTTTTTTCTTCTACTTGAGACATCCTAGGAGGTAAAGTGAGGGCAGGAAAAGGAAATTTCTTGTAAATCAAATTACAGTAAAGTTCTTTGAAAAAATTTGTTAGAAAGTTTTTAAGTGAATTTCCTTGAAGTCTAGACAGTAAAAAGAGTAATTAGCTCTGAATAGGAGACTTAGGTGACTTTCCTTACCTAAAGACTAGGTAGTAGAATCCTGAAAGACTAGTTAGAAGACTTATGTGAATTCTTTTGAAGTGTAGCAGGTAGAAAACCTAATTAGCTCTGAATAGGCAACTTGGATGAATTTCCACATCTAAAGGCCAGACTGAAGAAAGTTTGAGTGATTCTTTAGAAACTGAATAGAAGGCTAGGTGAGAGAGTAAAGTGATAAGATTCCGGTTTTCCTCCATCCGGCAGTGAGAAAGACTTTGCAGTAACAGCCATTTTGCTTTTATTAATCAGCCAGTTGTCAAGTCACTTTTGACTTCAAGAGGAATTTCTCACCCTGATGCAGTTCTTGCTTGTCAGGGCCAGGTAGTGCCTTATGAGGCTGAGGTAATCCAATTATAAGCTAAAGGTTGCTCAGAATTTTTTTTTTTTTAAGATTTATTTATTTATTCATAGAGAATTGGGGTACAGGCCAGAAATGCGGAGGGTGAGAGGATTCACCAGAGACAGAGTGGGGAGCAGCACAGGGCGATTGAGGAAGTACATTGCTGAGGGGAACAGCAGGCAGGTCAGGAGAGTTCTGCCGCGCCATGTGGTCACCTCCGGGGCAGGCGGGGATCGAACTCATGCAGAAGTGGCTTTAGCTTCTTAGTGCTATGCTTTAACCAGGAAGGGCCCTGCTCAGAATATTTTGATATTACGATTATACAAAAAAGGGAGGTCATAACATAAGTCAGTGTGAAAAGTCTGATTTTTCAAAGCATTTCCCCTCCATCTGTACCGTGTCTGTTGACAGAGGTTGCATAGCTTGTGTCATCAAAGAATAATTTTTAGTAGATGATATGTAGCCTGTTCCCCAACAGATATGCATGCACACTTCATCCTAGTGGTTCCTGTGTCCTGTGACAATCCTTTGGCCTACAAAGTGTCAAAGAACATTTATATGTGTGCGATGATGAAAGTGTGTTTTATTTTATGAATATAGTAGCATATCATGGCACCAATGCCAGGAACGGGTGTAGTGCTCACTTTTATTGCAAGAGTTGCAAGTCCCTGTGTACTAGGTGATAGAGGCAGTGGGCAGAGTTCTGGAGTGAAGCCAGTCTGGGCTCAAATCCTGGATCCATTATGTCTTTTAACTGTGTATTTTCCTGACAGTATCCTCTCTTTCCATCATAGTTTCTTCTTTAAAAGTGAGATGGATAATAATAGTATCTACTTTCTAGGATTACTGTGAGGATTTAACTCCTCAGATTGAGTCTTTAACACAAGTCCTAGGACACAGAAATGACTCACTAAAGAATAGTTGTTAGTGTGGCCTCCCTGCTGGTGTAAAGGGTTAAAGCACAGTTCTATGAAGCTATGCTGCAGCCACTTAGCAAGAGTTCAATCCCCAGCTAGGGGCAGCAGACCTCTCCTCTCTCGCCCACTGCTCCCCTCAGCTCCCCTCAGCAGTGTATTTCAGTCAGTCTAGCTCTTATGTTCCCCACTCTGTCTCTGGTGAATCCTCATCCCACTCCATCTTCACTTCTGGCCTGTACCCCAGTTCTTGTATGTATTAGTAAATAAAAAATCTTTAATAAAATAAAATATAGAGTAGTTACTAGTAACTGGGATTTTTCACAGCTTTTATAATTTGATCTTTTGTATGACACTATCTTTTCATTTTAAGTTGAAAACTGAATAGTTAAAAGTTTATGTCAATCAGGATATCTTGAATTTCAGTGTGACGAAAGCTGCACACTGTTGAATATTACTTAACATGGTTATTTAGATGCTGCTATGCTGTTAGAAAAACAAGTGTTTTAGATGTTGTAGAATATTTATTCCTGTTCTCATTGCTTGCTACCCAGTAACATTTGTGTTTCATTTTCATGGTGTTTTCAACAGGACGAAACATCACCAAGGTCCTTATTGCAAACAGAGGTGAAATTGCCTGCAGGGTGATGCGAACAGCCAGGAGAATGGGAGTACAGTCTGTGGCTGTTTATAGTGAGGCTGACAGGAATTCCATGCATGTAGACATGGTATGTTAAAACCTGGAAGTCAAATTTTGTAAGTGATTATATTTGTTTATTGTTAAGTCAGTGTTTAGATCTTTATGTTGATATTTGTAGATGCTAATGTCATCAGTAGTTTAGTAGATAAGTTCAGACATCTTATTACTAATTCCTCTAGTGACATTTTCCAAACATAATACTAGTTGAACTAAACAGTGTGCTTTGTTGTATCGTTGACTTATATACAAGACTCTGTATCATCAAGGGTTGATGAAAACCATTCACAGAATGTGACTCATCCAGGCTGCACTTTTAGTGACACGTATCCAAATCCCTGATACACCAAGAGAAGGTTGAGGGTTCTAGTCTTAGCAACTACTACCTACTGGCCAAAGAGTCTTAGACAATTTATTTAATGTTTCTGAGCCTTAGCTTAACTGTGAAGTCATAACTAAAAGGGCCGTATTTTCCTGAGGTTTGTGTTACCTGTTGATACTAGCTATATCTTTATACACCAGACAGAACCTAAGAAGGATGCATTCAACTATTGACCTTCTTACCTTCTTCAGGCCTGGAGCAATGCTCTGAGCATATTGACATAAAATTGTTGTGACCAGCTTCTCCTGGTTTTCAGCATTGTCCGGCAAACCTATTGATTCTTACTTTTCTTTTTCATTTTGTTCAATGATCAAATTTGTTTTACTGCGTTCTAATCTCTAGCGCTCCTTCTACCCACCTATTCTCAATATGTGATCTGATTTCACAGAAAAAGAAGTGTGTTTCCTACCACAAAGTGTGCTTGCCTGTTTTGTATCTTACCCACTTCCTTTCTGAGGCCGGATGTAACCTGTGCTCTGACTCCTTCTCTCATCTTTTCAAGAATCCTCCATATTTTCTTTTATCACTATAGTCTCCCAGATCACCTACTCCTATGGCTCTGCTGAAACCCCTTGTCTAGCTGAGGTGGGAATGATCCGTCCAACTACAAAGTCAACATCTATCACTGGCTGGATCACAAGTACCAGACTAATACGGCTGGCTTGAACTCATGGCCTTTCATCTGTTCTAAACCTGCTTTTCTTTCACATTTACCCAACCTAGTAGATGGCAACACCACTGCCAGAGATCGAGGAGTCTTTGAATATATCTTCCTCTTTTTTCCCACTATACAGCCTTCACCTCCTCTCTCTAAACAAGCACCAAGTGCTATTCCATTTCCCAAATATTTTACACTTCTTCAGCTCTCTGCCACTTGGACTTTAAGGTCAAAGTCAGTATTATTTCTTACCAGTCAAATGCTGTCACCCCATCAGAGACCTTCCTACTTCCACTGTTGGCTCTATCCCAAATTTCCCAAAATGATAGTTTAAAATAAAAATCATTACCCTCTGCTTTAATGCTGTAAACCTTTTGCTGATTCATCATACTAACAATAATTGGAAAAGATAAAAGGTGTTCAATATTAGTTAGAGTGTTAGAAATTAGTGTGTTGATGGAAATGTATTGGTGATATCATTTGAGGGAATAATTAACCAGTAATAACTAAAATTTCCATTCCACAAAGCACAAATCCATTTTTCATCTGGAGAATGTGAATAATATCACAAAGGCAAAGGAGCATTTTGATACTGTCCCCTCCCTCATCCAAGCCCCTTATAGATACAACCTCTGTGATCAACATGGGCATATTTTCACATATCGTTATATACCCAGCCATGCAAACATTCCCCTAGATCTCTCTCCAGAGACCTGTTTGCATATATACAAGTTGAAGCATGTACCAAATTGCTGCAGTATTTGCTGTTATAACCTATATGACTGTGAAGAGCTTTATGGTAAAATGAACTATGATGCCTCCATATTGCTGGTATTATACAATTGTTATAAAAAAAAAAGGGGCATGTGTGTTTATATAAATTTGTATTGAGAAATAGAAATATGGGGCCTCCCCTCCCTGGTGGTGCAGCGGGTTAAAGCACAGCACTGAGAGGCTAAAGCCACTTCAGCATGTGTTTGACCCTGCCCCAGAGGTGATCCACATGCGTGGCAACCTCTCCTGCACCCACTGCTCCCCTCAGCGGTGTGCTTTGTCAGTCTGCCTGTTCTGCTCCCCACTCTGCCTCTGGGGAATCCTCTCACTGTCCCTGTACCTCTGACCTGTACCCTAGTGCTGTATGCATAAATAAATAAATCTTTTTTAAAAAATAAAATAAATTAAATTAAAAAAGAAATAATGGGCCTCCCATTCATTGCACAGGGTTAAGTTTCAGCACTATGAAGCTATCTACAGCCACTGTAGCATGAGTTTGATCTCATCCCCTGTACCCAGCTCTTATATGCATAAATAACATAAATAAATAAATCTTTAAAAAATATATATATTCATGTGTGAAAATATGCCCATGTTGATCACAGAGGTTGTTGATCTACAGGGGCTTGGATGGAGGAGGGGACAGTATCAAAATGCTCCTTTGCCTTTGTACTGTTATTCACACTTTCCAGATGAAGAATGCATTTGTGCATTGTGGAATGAAAAATTATAAAATCGACTGGAAAAACTTGTGAGTCCCCTTGGGAAACTCATCCCAGTCTCACAAGGCCACTGAAATCTGTGCCCCCAGCTATCCAGCCAACAGTTAATTCCTGCCCCTTTGCTCACTGTGCTCTAATCACACTAACCTCCTTCACTCCTTCAGATATACCAGGTCTCTTCCTTCCTCAAGACCCTTCCTCTGCACCCATCTTCATTCCCATTTCTAGCTTGCCCCTCCCCCATTTTCCTGGCCAAGTCCTGATCATTCTGCAGGTATCTTCCTCCTCAGTGTTTCCCTGACCACCTACAGGCCTGATTGATCTTCCTCTTACCTGCAACATATACGTTGTTTTTCCTTCCTGGCCTTTATCACAGTTGTCATTGATGCCTGTATCTCCCTCTCAGGGACATTCATTTTGTTTATTGTGGTGCATACAGTTCCAGCCTCAATACATAACACATAGTAAGCATTCAGTAAGTATTTGAATGAAATTTTCTGTTTTCTTCAAGGGATGTTATGGTTGTGTGAAAATTTAAAAGGAATAGTATAAATCATCCACAAATATATGAAAGGAACATTATCACCATAGTCTGTAAGCAATTTTGTTTTTTGCTGTACACATCTATTTTATTTCTTGTCTTCTCAAATTGCAAATTTTTGACCTGAAGTACATTTAAAGTTATTGTTACTAATGCTATTGTTTTCTCCTAAGATACTTTAATTTCACTCAAGTATAGGGCTTATACATAAAAATCAAGTACTCATGTAAATGAGTCTAATGCTGACTTCTTATTGTAACATAGACATTGAGTTGGTACTTCTCCTCAACTCTTGACTTGTTTGTGGAGAGCCATCATTTTATTTATAGCAACAAAATGACCCTGAAGCAGTTCTATAGCAGATACTAGCTGTGTGGGTTTTTAATGTTTCTTAAACAGGCAGATGAAGCATATTCCATTGGCCCAGCTCCCTCACAGCAGAGCTACCTTTCTATGGAGAAAATCATCCAAGTGGCCAGGATCTCTGCTGCACAGGTAAAAGTCACATCACCAAAGATATGAGACACTCAGGAGAGGAGGGGAGGTGGAGAGTAGAGGATAAGAGGGGTGAAGGGAGGGTGGAAGAGAGGAGAAAATAATGGAGTGTGGAGGACTGTGTGCACTTGGTTGTGGGAAAACCAGGGTGACCTCACCTAAGGGGAGAACTTTTGTGAAACTTATAAACAAGGATATTTAAAAATAAATTTTAAAATGTATTTTTTTAAAAAATAAAAAGGCCAAAAGAACTTAAAAAAGAAATTCGTGGGCCCTCCCTGGAGGCACAACTGGTTAAAGCACAGTACTATGAAGCTATCACACCCCTGCAGCAGGAGTTCGACCCCTGGCCAGGGAAGTGACCCCCATGGTGCGGCAGACTTCTCGGGCCCCACCCGCTGCTCCCCTCAGTAGTGTATTTCATTGGTCTGTCTGTTCTGCTCCCCACTGTCTTTGGTGAATCCTCTCACCCCCCACACCTGGTCTGTACCCCAGTTCTGAATGCATAAATAAATAAATCTTTAGGGGGGAAAATTTAAATTTTATTATAAAAAGGTGATAAGATTTGTAATGCAAAAGGCAACTTTGTACAATTTAAGCAAAATTATTTCTTAGATGAAGAAATCTTTTTCTAAATTTACTCTTCCCAAGATTTTTACATTTGATTTTTGAGTTATCAGTGTAAATCTTTTTCTTCTTGATTTCCTAATTTCACTCTAAGGCCTAACTGCCTGGGTTTCTAATATCCTAGGCACAGAACTTTGATGTTATTATATTACTTCTTTGTCCTTCAAAATAAAAGAGGAACTAACTTGTAGGGAATTTTTTTTTAAATATTCCCTACAAGTAATTTTCTTAGTCACACAGCCAGACCCTTTGGTCTCTTATCTGGATTTCTGACTCTCAGCTGCATCTAAATCAGTTCTCTATACTGCTGTGTTTCTAAAACACTAGTTTTGTTATTATCCTCTGTGTCTCTCAAGCAAATTTTCAGTGGTTATAAGATAGAGTTCAAACTCTGAAAAGTTTTCAATACTTGTCAAAACTTAATTGATTTCTCATTGCTCTCTCTGTATTATAGCTACACTTTTCTCTGTCTCCTTATACCATACATGTTTCTTCTCCTAAGCATTTGCACATATTGTTCTACCAGCCTGAAATGCTCTTTTCTTCCTTTTAACATTCATAGTTTGGTCCCCTCAGCAATCATTCACTTGTCTTCTGCTTTGTGCCTGCTAAGCATAGAAACTGAGATGAACAGGATAGATACAGTTCCTTCCCCCCAGCTATGAGACAGATAATAAACCTCAAAATAAATACTTAATACAACTAAGAGTGTTCCAAGTGTTATAAGTGGTTGGAAGAAAGTAAAGCCAGGTGGGGGATAAAGACCAGGGAGGGTGACAAATGGCCTCCTCTCTCAGTTGGCTCCCAGCTGGAACCAGCCACGTGACCAAAGAGGAAGGATCAGGTCTGGGGGCTTGAAAATAAGCTTGGTATTCAAGAAACGAGTGTTCCGATGTGGAGGGAGTAAAGGCAGTGAGGGGCTGTCTCATTGCATATTAAATCAGTAAAACTAAAGTTCCATTAAATTTCGAAGTTACTTCCACCAGCATTTGAAGGCGAGAAAGGAAAAAAAGACTGTTGAAATTACCTAGTGATAATAATGTCAGAAATGGATGCCCATCTGTTGGACTGCAAAAGGGTCTTGAGGAGGGACATTTTGCAGCCTATTAACCTAGATCCTTGTGGAGGGGCCCCACCCACCTGGCTGCGGGAGTAATGCAGCTGATTCTGGGTTTGACAAAAGAAGCCTAAGACTGAAACACTGCTGCTCAGCCTGAAGAATAGGGAAGCTTTTTCTGCTTGCACTTTACCCACTGTGGTTCCTGCTGGCAAAACCTAACAGGAAGCCATCCCTAGCAAAGATGTTTTGAAGATCACCATCACAAAGGCCAGTATGGACCCATGGGATGGGAGCTGAAAACCAGCTGTCACAGGAAGAAACCTGTAGGACCTGGTGAAGCAAAGAGGTGAAGGCAACCTCATTAGGGGTTTTACAGACCTTAAAGAGTTTGCATTTCACACTAAGTAGCTAGTGGAGTTTAAGCTGGGAAGTGATTAGATTTATATCTTGACAAGATCATTGTGGCTGCTGGTGGTTATGGATAGTGGGGAGAGACAAAGGTGGGCTTGACTCAAAGCTAGCAGAAGAATTAGGAGTTTACTGCAGCAGTCCTGCCCTTCACTGCCACCTGCGTTCTTCCTTCATAAAGCCTTTCATGTCTTTGCTAGTCAGCCAAGGACTGATTTGCTAGTCTCCTTAGCTACGATTTGCTGCCCCAGTCATTTTTATAGCTAGCTATTGTCAGGGTACAATTGAATAAAGTTCAAAAGGAAGCTCCCACTACTTGCCCAGAAGGCAGGTTGGGAGGCTGGCATAGATAAGGGGATTGATAAGTCTGCCTTGGGGACAAGGCCTTAAAACCCACCACTATGACCAGAGAAACCAGCCCAGCTCTAGGAATGCAGAAGCAGAAGCCAGAACATGTTTCTGTGCCCATGACCCATGGGAATCAGACCTCCTAGCAGATAAATGTGCCAACTGGCATCTCAAGAGGGAAAGTCTGAGAAAAGATTATGAAACAGCACTTCAAATCCTCCTGAGGGCACAGACTTCTCGTCTTGCCTGCTGGCTACTCTATCTCTGGTGAATTCTTTCACCAGCACCTCTACCTTCACCCCACCCACCCTGGTCTTCTCCCTTCCAGAGCGGTTATCTTAATTACTTGAATGCATATCTTGATTTCTCAGCTCCCTTTTGCTCTTAAGAGCCCACATCTGAGTGGATTAGACCTCCTAGTAACCCAAGAATTGGTACACACAGGGTCTTTAATTTGAATTAATGAATCCATTTTGTTTTGTATTAATTATTCCTACATTATTGTTCTCTTCTTTAATATCAACATTTCTACTCTGAATAACTTGGGCATTAATTTATACATACAGATGTTTAAAATATGCTTGGCTCTAAAACTTTTTTTAGTTATTTAGGAGCAAAAGATCCTGAGGAGGGAAAGGAAATAATACATGAACTTTATCTTTTTCGTTAGGAAAATAGTTATTTTAACATAAATCTCACTTTTTGTATTTATCATGCATTTGAGCATACTTAACATAGTATTGTTAACCTCTATTTAACAAAATGAAATCTAATGTAGTAGATTACCTCACATCTAAAATCATCAAGTCTTGGTTTCCCAAGTGTGGTCCATGGTCATGATGGCGTTTTTTGGAGTTCAGGGTCCTTGGGTTCACTCTGGAAAAGGTTTCATCAGAACTCCCCTTTCAGTGGCATGCAGTGAGTTCCTAAGTTGCTCTATGAGACAGACATATACATACATACATACATACATACATACATACATACATACATACATACATACATACATACATACATACATAAATATATACATATATCTTTAAATATAACGGCAAAGTGTGTGTATGTATATAGACACACACATACACACACTTTGCCATTGTATTTAAAGAACAGGTTTATTAGGGAAAAGGGCAGAGGAGTAAAGGACTTTTGCATAGGCACAGGCATGCAGGGAGTGCTGCCCAGAGGGACAGTTGTGCTGAGAGGTCTGCATGAGCCAGGCAGGCAGACTGAGGAGAGCAGTCTCCGCTCAGTGCAGAGAAGCCCCTGCAGTTACAGATAACAGGCAGGCAGGAGGCTGCTGCCCTGCAGAGGGAGAGAGCAGGTGGAAAGAGGCACCTGCATAGTCACAGGTGGGCAGAGGACTGCTTTCTTAAGCCAGTGCAGAGACTGTCCTGATATAGTCCTTTTTTCTTTGGGAGGGGCTCACTCTTTTGTGGGGTGGCCTTTTTGCTGCTGATTTTGGAATCTCACAATGGGCCCAATCTCTGTATCTTTATCCTCAAGTCTGTGCTTCCAATATTCCCTAAAGCAGTCTGATAATAGAAGTCTCTCTGACTGGGTTCATGGTCATGTTAGTTCCTTCTGCCCCCACCTCCTTGCATATAAGTCAGGTTTTAACCTTGTGATGTCTCCTTCAGGTTTTCTATTTTCCTCATCAATATCATTTGGGAGTTGTTAGAATTGCAGTCTCAGGCCCCACCCAATCCCTAAGATTTACAACTTTGTATGGAATTTGCATTGTTATCAAGATTTCCAGCTGGTCTGAAAGGAAATGTCATCATTGAAAGAGAAAGGATCAAGGCTTCCCTGGTGTTACAAGGATGTTAAGTCTCAGCACTATGAAGCTATCCACAGTCAGTGCAATACAAGTTCAATCCCCCACATGGTGCAGCAGACCTCTCCTGTCTCACCCACTGCTCCCCTCAGCAGTGTATTTCAGTAGGTCTGCCTGTTCTGCTTCCCACTCTGTCTGGTGAATCTTCTCAACCCCTGCATCTCTGTCCTGCACCCCAGTTCTTATATGCATAAATAAATAAATCTTTTTTAAAAATTAAAGAGAATGGGTAAAACAAGTTTCCTGACTCCTATTCATCAGTACTGGCTGAATAGAAAGAACATTGTTGTCTTGCATTTTGCAGAGAGGGAAGGTTTTGCTTAATCACAAATTTCAGTTTGTTAAAACTCTTTTCTTATAGGCCAGCCAGCTTCCTTATATTATCATTGCTTTCTCCTCTAAGCAGGCTTCTCTCTCTTTTTTTTTTTTAAAGATTTTATTTTATTTGTGCATACAGAACTGGGATACAGGCCAGAGATGTGGAGGGTGAGAGAATTCACCAAAGACAGAGTGGAGTGCAGAACAGGCAGATCAACGAAATACACTGCTGAGGGGAGCAGCGGGAGGGTCAGGAGAGGTCTGCCACGCCATGTGGTCACCTCCGGGGCAGGCGGGAATCGAACTCATGAGGAAGCGGCTTTAGATTCTCAGTGCTGTGCTTTAAGCCGCTGCGCCACCAGGGAGGGCCGCAGGCTTCTCTTTTTAAGTGAAAATCCA